CAGGTTCTTGGGTCAGGTTGAGTATCTATCTTCATTAAACATTGCTGCCTAACAGACTCAAGACTGTGACTCGTGACTCTGCTTGGCCTCGCTCAGTGGAGCAGGTCCCTGGTGGTTTCGCCCATGGTCACTCCCACTGGCCACTCTCCCAGGGCTCAGCTGAGACACCGGGGGCCCCGCGGTGGCCCCTCTCAGATGCCCAGTGGTTAGAGGGGCTTCTGGCTGAGGCACCTCTGCTCTCCTTCTCCTGGCGTCACCAGCAGGACAGTCTGCACTTCTTCCTGGGAGGACTACATGTCAAGACGGCAGGTCCTAGTTTGCAAATATTTATGCTCCTCTGCTTTTATCACTTCTTTCTGATGCTCCAGGGGACAAAGCAAATGGCATGGCGGGTTCAGACTCAGTGTTGGCAGGGACTGCCTACCAGCATGGATGCCAGAAGCACGACTTCGAGAACCTACCGTGGGCTTCCTCAGGCTACAAAGGAATGTCTCCCCCACATGCAAAACATGCCAACCCCCAGCGAGGACACTAAATTCTCATCCAGTCACAGGATCAGGCTGGAAGTCCGTGATCTTATTATCTCTATCAAGCTCCAGTGTGGAAGAGGATCTTCGGCCACAGCTACTCTTGATCCAGAAACCTGTGACCTAACAAACTCATTTGCTCATGCAGCACGCACCCAACTTACCGTGACCACGGCCGCTCCTGCGTGGGAGTGTATCCGTGGTCCGTGGCAATCATGACGCCCAGCCAGACCCATGCTGTTGGGGCGGAGTGTCCCTTCCTTGGTGCCCAGCCCTACTGCCTTGGCTTGGTCCTGTAATACACCGTTCTCTAGGGTCCGAGCTCCACCTTCTGTGAGCCTTCTTGTCTCTATAGAAATGGCCTGTGTTTGCAGCCTGCTTAAGGCACTGAATCATTTCAGATCCTTCCAACTGGGCACTTTTACCAATGCATCTCTCTCAGAGGCTTAGTGGGCTGTCCTTGGAATTTTGAGGTTCATATCTCTTAGAATCGACAAGCATGATTCTTGTTGAGATGACATCCTCCTACTTGAGCTATGTCAGACTGCTGTGGGGTGGTACTTCTGTGATACTTGGATGCATTTATATGATCACTAAGAACATAACATTAATCAGTTTCTTATCCTTTTTTTAAATTAAAAGTTCTTAATCATTTTGTTCCTCATCTAAATGTTTTCTTTTTAAAAAAGATTTTATTTATTTATATGAGAGAGAACGAGAGAGAGTGGGGTCAAGGGCAGAGAGAGAAGCAGACTCCCTGCTGAGCAGGGACCCCCAATGCGGGACTCGATCCTGGGACTCCAGGATTATAACCTGAGCCAAAGGCAGATGCTTAACCTACTGAGCCACCCTGTGTGCCCATCATTCAAATGTTTTCTGCATCCTTTTCTTTAACTAGTGATTTGAAATTGCTAGTCTCTCTGGCTTCCCGCTTTCCTCTCCCCCCTGGGGACACTTCTGCTCCTGTATTTAAACTGATATTCAAGCGATGGTAGAACATTTGTCCCCGACAGCTTAAATAATTTGAGTATCTACTATGTACTGTGCACTGTCACTGCCTGAGGGGCTTCTCATTTAGTGGGGAAGCTGATACAAGGAGGGGAGATACACTCTAAACTGGGGTACCCGTAAGAAGCTGCAGAAGCACAGACTTGAAATCCAGGATGGGCAGACTCAGGGAAGGTTCCCAGGGGAATGGGCGCCTAAATGGAGTCTTTAAGGATGAAAAAGACTCAACCAGGCAGACATGTCAGAGCAGGCGTGTTCCGAGCAGTGTGCTTCTTCAATTCTATCTGAAATAAGTGAGATCACGAAAGCACGTGCACATATCTGAGAGGCACGGCCCCCACCTCTGGGCAGCTCAGTGCCACAGGAACATGTATCCAAGGGAGGTCTGCAGAAGAAGGCAGTGAATACCATCATTAAGAACCTCCTCTTTGAAAAGGTTGAAGCCAAGGAGAGGCACCATCAGACATACCCTTTGGAGCGATCGCTCTGGCCATGAAGAGTGGGGAAGAAAGAGCAGAATCAGGAGATGGGTCAGGGTTCTTAACCTGTAGTCTACAGATGCCAGGAGCCATGGCTGTGGTCCCAGAACCAATGGAAGCAGAAAATGCTGCGTGTGCAACTTCTATGTGCAATTGTGCATGTAATCTCAATCGTCTCCAGTTTTTACATTGTAAAATGTCCAAGATGCTTTATGACCATCTTCGTATCCACCTCTTAGCTGGTGCCCTGTTTTCTTATTCTCTCAGTTTCTAACTCCAGATTATTGCTATTTTGTTGAACACACCCCATGCACATGTCTTTAAAATAACCTGCTTCTTCCCTCTGACACCAACAGGCAGCATGGAGCTGTGTATTCTGTCTCTGTGGAGGAGGACATACCCTTTCTCCCAGGTGGCCAAAACGTTTTTGTTTTTTGTTTTTTTTCCTTTTAGTTTCCTGATGAGAGAGGCTGACCCAACAACTCTCCTTAAACTCCCAACAACAAAAACATAGGCTGACTTTTGGCAAATCCAACATGCATGAGGAAGATGCTCCCTGTCCAGGACACTTTCCAAGGCGGGCTGACTGCTGACTCGGTGTGAACTGTTGTTGCCACTGGGCTCTATGCAAATGCTTCCTCCAGCAATGTGTAATGTCTCTATTTTAAAATAGCTGCACTCCAAATGCAACAGCCTTTGTTAGCGACTTGACTTCTTGCTCAGCAGGAGATACAAATAAAGGAGGAAGTGGGATGCATTGTAGGACCTGGGACTACAGAATAAAAACTAAATCATTAAATACCAATGAAATTGCAATCAATTATCTTAGTTAACCAGGGTAATTTGTGTAGGTGGTATAGGGAGAGGAGATAGGCCAAAATTACAATTAAAACTACCAACTAAAATGAAAGAAAACGTCCATCAATTATTGGTTGTAGGGACAGCTTAACTCTAGGTAAGACAACAGAGACCTAAGGCAGGTCACCTCTCCGAAGGACTCAAGAGGACCAACAGCTGATTAGCACGGGCTGTGCAACTCCTGTCAGTGCTAGGGCTGGGCATCCTCCCACCGCTCTGTAGCTTTTGCTTCAGCTTTTTTACAGGACTCCCACACCTGGAGCCCTGGCATTGGCTCAATAACCTAACATGATGTCAGGGCTGGCGGGGAGCCTCAGAGACGAGTCGTCCCTGTGTTAGGAAGATAGGCAGGGAGGCAGTTAGGGAAGCAGCAGGTCAGACCTGGTGCAGGTGCAGCCCACTCTACAGCATGGCTGCCGCAGTAACTATCCCGGGTAGGAAACAGCCCGGCTCAGCCTCCACAAGCTCCCTGACGCTGCTGTTTTGACGCCCCCTCCCCCTTATGGGAGTTGGTTGCCATGACAGTTTCACTAAGGACCATGAAAGGCTAAAAACTCCCTGTCCTGTCCTGTAGGAGATACCTGGATGACTGGGAGCAAGCTCAGTCAGAGAGCGCCCTAGCTGCCTCCCATGACCCTGCAGGCATGAACAAGACGATCCTGACCCACCCCCCGCCCCCCGCACAGTTGCTTTTCTCAGCCTGCTCCCCACCCTCAGTGTACTTTTGCTTTACTAAAGCCAGGCTGTGTGACTCACTGCACTGTTCCGTTCTTGAATTCTTTCCCGACGAGAAGAACCTTTTGGTGACCCGTGGAGCCCCCACGTCCTGAGGAAGAGCCCCAGAGGCCAGAAGGAGGCTGGGTAGATGGGGTTCCCAATCCCTGACCTAGAACAGCCAGGTTTTGTCTGTTTTTTTTTTACATTAGGATTCCACTCAAAAGCTTATTTATATAAAGGACCGCACAGCCATTTTTAAAAATCATTCAATTGACCCAACATAGATTTTCACTTCCTGCTGCCCTTCTAGATGCTGGAAATTCAACAAGACAAAATGCCTGCTGATGGGAGCACACGTTCTAGCCGGACCCTGGGCTGACACTGTGTTTGTTTGCTCGGGCTGCCATAACCAGCTACCGCAGACTGAGCGGCTTAAACACCGGAAGTTTCTCCTTCACCGTCCTGCAGGCTGGAAGTCGAAGATCAAGGTGTCAGCAGAGTCGGTTTCCCTGAGGCATCTCTCCTCAGAGCGCAGACAACCCCCTTCTTTCTGTGTCCTCATACAGCCTTTGCGGTGGGTGCCTATGTCCCTGGTGTCTCTCCGTCTTCTTACAGGGACACCCTCATATTGCATTAGGGCCCATCCTAGTGATCTTATTCAACCTTAATCATCTACCTTAAGGACCCATCTCCAAATACAACCACAGTGGGGGTTGGAGCTTCAACGTATGATTTTGGGGGGGGATACGATTCCGTCCGTAACAGACCCTATAACAGACCCTATGTTTCTAGACATAAAAACTGAGTAGAGACAGACTGTGAGGATCACACAGCCTGCTACCTCGGAACGGGGATCAGGAATTCCCTGACTTCTGAGCAGAATGAAGGAAGCACTGGAGCAGAAGAAAGGCAAAGTACCTGGATGAGGAAGAGAAAGTGGGGACAACTGATCAAGGGGAAAGGTGAAGAAGTTCTCTTAAAAGAAAGGGAGAAGCAGTAGTTACAGAACAAAGAGAATAGGTTTTGGGGCCAAGGACACGCGGTTTTGAATTCTGTTTCCCCTTCCAGACAGCCACGTGACATTGTGTCAACAACCCTCTGGGACCAAGGACTTTTTATCTTTTTCATTTACAAGCTGCCTACCTCACGTTAAAATTGGTGTTCCATGACATATAGAGGGATCGGCGTGGTGAGCGTTAGCTCTTTCCCCCTCCCTGCCCTGCCTCTCTGACATAATTAACTGTGTAAATCTCCAATGCCAGAACTTGCGTCTTCTTAATGTTCTTGCCTCTAGGTTCTAAACTCTGCTATTTAGCTCCAGCTAATAGTCTGGCTCCATCTCCAGACTGTCAACATCCCTGGGTAATACACTCAAGTTCCTTGGCCCTGGATTGTTCTCTGACCCCAACTGACTCAGCCACAGGGGTCTGAGCAGAGGCCGAAAGCCTCTCCTGTACTAGGCTGGGACAGTGGGAGTCGGCAGAAGACGTGGCCTCGTCCTCAAGAAGGCTGTGACTTTGCTGAATCCTATATGGCTGATGTCAGGAAGCTCCCAGGGTGGTCTTACCGTGGCTTGGGAGAGAGATCCATGAATTCTGCTCCAGTCAAGGTCATGTGGGGACTGGCACAAAGTGGCCTTGAAGGATGTCAGAACTGGACAGAGATACAGAAGAGAAGCGTCCCAGACCGGGTTAGAGCAGCCCAAGCGTGGAAGGTGGGACGCCCATGCACAAGTGTACAGAAGGACAGGGGGAGCCCTGGCAGGTCAGTCTGCACAGGTAACATGGGGCCTCAATCCAGAAGAAATACTTCAGTCCTCACAGCTCTTCTCACTTCAAATGTCAGTCAAAAAGACAGGTACTATACATACTACAAGGAATTAAAAGCAAGCACTCTGATATCTGTACACACATGTTCACAGCAGTGTGATTCACAGAGCCAAAAGGTGGAAGCAACCCATGTTGCCCACAGATGGATGACTGGTTAAACAGGTGGCATGGAATAGACAAATTAGCTGGAGTTCTCCAGAGAAGCATAACCAAGATACCAAGATAGCATGCAGAGAGAGATACAGAAGAGGACAGTTAGCACAGGAATCGGCCCACCAGATTATGGAGGCCGACAAATCCCATGATCCGCCATCTGCAAACTGGCAGTCCACAGAGCCAGTGGTGTAATCAGTCCAAGTCCAAAGGCTCAAGAACCAGGAGCGCTGATGTCTGATGGCAGGAGGAGAGGGATGACTCAGATCAAGCAGAAAGTAAATTCCCCTTTCTTCTCTTTTTGTTCTCTCAGGGCCCTCAATGATTAGACAATGCCCACCCACATTGGTGAGGATGAGCTCCATTACTGAACCCACCAATTCAAACGTCGATCTCTCCTAGAAACACCCTCATAGACACACCCAGAAATAATGTTTCACCAGCTCTCTGGTCATCCCTTAGCCCATAAAATGAATCATCATAACACACAATGAAATAGTATTCAGCCTTAAAAAGGAAGGACATCCTAACACGTGCTGGGACGTGGATGAACCCTAAGGACACACTATGATGGGTAAGGTAAACCAGTCATGTTAAGGGCAAATACTATATAATTCATACTTAAATGAGGTACCTAGAGTAGTCCAATTCACAGAGACAGAAAACAGAGTGGGGGTCTCTAGGAGCTGCAGCAAGGGGGTAATGGGGAGTTGTCACGTAATGGCCATTACAGAGTTTCGGTTGAAGAGGAAAAGTTCGGGAGGTGGATGGTGGTAATGTCTGCACAACAATGTGACCATCCCCAATTCCACTGAACTGTGCACTTAAAAATGGTGAAAAGTGTAAATTTTACGTACTGATATTTTACCACAATTTTAAAAATTATTAAAAAAAACCACTAGCATTTATTGATAACCTACCATGAGTTTGGGAGTCTGCTAAGGGCCATAGAACCAGAAAGGGGTAAGACGTAGACCCCACCCTGAAGGATTTACACAGTCTGACCTGTAATTCCTACAGGTTAGCTCGTCCTGCAATGCACACAGGTATTCTAAATGTGCTCTCCAAGAATTAACACACTCTTTCAAAAGGACCCATTTCTGAGGACATTCTGCTCTGTCACAAAGTGGCAAGGCTGGGGTTCCTCAGAACGACCCTCTCTCTTTTCCAATGCCAAATCTCTCACATCAGGCCATGCTTACCAGGGCCAGCATCCTGCGGGCTCCAACATCAGAGCACAGACACATTTCTAGTGGCTTCTAATGAAATCACCACAACAAATCTGAATTAGCCACGTGGCATGTGCATGCTGCTTTTAATTGGAATCCTCTTTCTGCTTATTTGCCTGATAAGAGCAGATTATAGAAAATGCTGGTTTCGACAACTCACTACCAAGAACCAGGAGCCATTACCATGGTGCTGGTCAAGGATTCCTAGCACCTGAGTTTCTAACTTTTCCTAATCAGACTGGCTCTTCCCACATCCTAGCAGAGGCTGGAAGCCAAGGGATGAATTTGACAGAGGCCTTTCAAGTGCTAAACTGTGAAACTATGACCCACTCCCACAAAGAAGAGTGATAATTCCTCAAAAGAACAATGAAAGCACTCTAGGCCAAATGGAACTAAGACAAAAGCAGTCATGTGTCTTGCACTTTGATTAAAAAATAAATAAAAGGTGACATCTAGGTCAATTTGGAAGTTAGAAATGATTCATTTGTAAAGATCAACCCCTCCTATTTACTGAAGTGGTCAAAATTCCATCCAGCTCACGTCTGTGGTCATCACCTTGTAAGATCCCACCAGGCAGCAAAAGAAGCAAATTTTCCAGCACCGTGTTGGAAAAGGTTTTGTTTTTCCAAAGAATACTGCTGGTACTCAGGTAAGTTTGGGTATATGCATCCTTTAAGATTTGTTATGGCCTAAAGGTTTGTGTCCCTCCCCCACAAATTCATCTGTTGGAGCCCTAACTCCCAGTGTGATGGTATTTGGAGATGGGGCATTTGGGAGGTATTAGGTGTAGAATAAGGTCATGAGGTGGGATCCTCATGATGGACTTAATGCCCTTATAAGAAAAGGGAAAGAACGATCCCTTTCTCCTTTCTCCATGCACACACATCAAGGAAAGACCGTGTGAGGACATAGCGAGAAGACAGTCACCTGCTACCCAAGGAGGGAGCCTCACCACAACCCGACCATGCTAGCACCCAGATCCAGCCTCCAACACAGGACAAAAATAAATGTCTGTTATGTAAGCCCTCCAGTCTGTGGTGTTTTTCATAGCAGCCTGAGCTAAGACAGAACATTTGAGGGATAAGTTAAGTATACCAGAGACTTCAGGGGCACAGAAAAGAATGTTAAGCCTTGACGTCAGGCTGTTTCCCCGACCCCACATTTCTGAGTCTTTGGCAATGAAGATTTCTTCTTCCCTTTGTGGGCCACAATGGGAGACATTGCAGATGAGCCCTCACCAATCTGCGTCTGTGTGTGCTCACCTCTGAGGCTTCTATGCTCTATCTGGAGCTTGGTCTACATTGCTGATATAAGAAAGATCAGGTCACACCAAATGATTCGAGGAGTAGAAAAGCATTTTCATTAAGTTTAGACTTCAAGAAGTCCAATAGCAAAGGATTAACCTCTGAACCCCATGGCACTATCCCCAGGTCCCTTCATTTTGGCCTCTTTTGGTCAGGCCTGGGGATGAGGTGAGATCACCCATCCAACAGCATCCAGGTGGGTATCCATGGGAGCTCAGGAAAGAATTCTGTAGTCTCCAGAGGATGGGAAGTGGCTCTGTGTTGGGAAAGGCAGGTAGTGGGCTCAAGGCATGGGTTCAAAGAGGCTCCTAGAAAAATCAATCCCAGAGTTGAATCTTGAAAACACCTAGATTTTAACCAGGTGGAGAATACAAGATAGGGTCTTGAATTTCTTTTATTGTTACAGAGCAGTTAACTATTGAAAGTAGATCATGGCTCATTTGGGATGTGACTTATTTACTGTACTTTGTCTAGCTGTTTTATCTAGGTAGGTTTTCTTTTAAGATTTGATTTGACAGAGAGAGGAAGTACACGAGGGAGAGGGAGAGAGAAGAATCTCAAGCAGATTCCCCGCTGACTGCGGAGCAGGACACGGAGCTCGATCTCACAACCTTGATACCATGACCTGAGCCGAAATCAAGAGTCGGATGCCCAACTTGGGCACTTTTAAGTACCATGAAAAAGCCTGAGGTTTTCAAACAACAGGCTGTAGTGGAAGGAATACTAAACTAGGAACCAGAGAATCTGAGTTCCAATATTCTGTCAATTATAACATGAGTGATATTTTCTGAGACCTGAGACATACAGCACCTCCTTGTGTGTGCTCTTCACAGCCACCCTCTGAGGAAAGAGTTCCAATCATCTCCTTTATATAAATGACTGAACACGGGCTGGGAGAAATTACCTTCACACTCTAAGAGGTGAGCCGGGAGACCAGCCCAGGCATGACCCAGTGTGCTTTGGACAACGACCAAGTGTGCGATGTCTCATTTTCCTCAAGCTGCTTTCTCATCTGCAAAAATCCCGGCGCTTTCACTTTGCCCGACCAGGCATCAATTTGCATGCTTTGTTTTGCATTCTGCAAAGAAAAGTTTTGTTGCAGGATCACAAAGGTCAAGAAAGAGCTCTTGAGACATTTTACCGTGCAATTTAGTTGATTTTGACCACATGGAGACCAGAGCTATGGGCAGAATGAGCTGCACTTTTGCTGTATGAAGCTGGTGGCTATATGCTTAATGCTCAAGGGGAAGGGGGCCTGCAGGGAGTATTACCTCATAAATGTCTTCTTCGAATTTCTACTCCTAAAACAACCTTCCCAAGATTTCCCTGGTGCTAGGGACCTGGGTGGCTCAGTCAGTCATGCTCTCATGATCTCAGGGTCCTGGGATTGAGCATGAGTCGGGATCCCAGCCCAGAGGGGAGTCTGCTTCTCCCTCTGCCCCTCCTCCTGCTCATGCATGCTCTCTCTCTTTCTCTCTCTCTCATATAAATAAATAAAATCTTAAAAAAAATTTCTTAGATGCTTATCATTACTGATATTACTTATCAGTGAGATGGTCAGGCAGTCATGAACCCCTATAAGAATGTAGCAACCAGCGGGTATGTGATCCTTATCAGAACCATGCAGGCTACAGGTCAGCCTTCTGGGCTAAAGGTGAATATTTTTCTGCTTCCATCCCTCATCACCTTCAAGGAGGAAGACTCTTGGTGCAGAGGCCCGCAAAGCTGAGGGTTGAGAAGACAGTGAGGGAAACACGTGACACCTGGTGACATGGGTCAAGAGGAGACGTGGTGAGATGTAGTGAGGACTCCCAGCAGTGGGACAACTTGGTTGATCTGGATCCTCTGAGGACCTGAAGCAACACTGCAGTAAGTCTGCAGATGACCAGTGATATACATAATTCTAACGCAGAGCACCCGCTCAGACTAAATTATTGTCAGATAAAAGCTCACAAATGACTTGACAAAATTTGTGAGTGTGTAGATGTTCTTGTTTGTTGAAAAACTTGGCTAGATCTTCAGGGATACTGTGTTCCTGCAAAACCACAGGGTGAGACACTCAGAAAGAAGCTAATCTGCCTAGGAAAGGCCAAGTTTACCTAACACATAAGGCCCGATGAAGCTGAATTCATGCTGGGAATACAAGACAAGCAGTAAGTGTCTTAAGACAAGCATCCAACATAGCTGGACCTCCTAATTCTCTTCAACCCACCCTTATGCTTTGCTGCCAAATAAAACATTTCATGCATAGTACAAGACACAGGGTATTCTCCTGTTTTGTGAAAGGCACTTCAACACAGTGAATTTGAGTGGGAATGAAACACCCATTTAGCAGCCGGGAAAGTTTTGCAACTTTGGGGAGCTCTGGGGGATAGCACGTCAGGGTGAACAATGTTCTCCCTGGGGAGCTGCAACCAGAGACATTCCATTTCAGTAAGGAATCAGTCCATGATGAGTTACAGAACATCCTACCCAAATGAGACTGAACAATAAATGAGCTTGATTGATTCACGTGATGAAGTGTACAGAGCAAGTCAGTCCCAGAGCTTCAGGTGAGGGTTGATCCAGCAATTCAGCCAGGTCATCAAGAGCCCCCTTTCCCTCTGCTGCCCTGCTCTGCCTTCCACAGTGTCGCCTGGGTCCTCCAATGGTCTCAAGATGCCTGCCAGAAATTCCCAGGGTTTCTTGCTCCCTCATGTATTCCCATCCATCCAGGGAAAGCATCATCTCTCCAACTGTCTCAGGCAATGCCCTGTGATGGTTAAATAAATGGTGAACTTAAATGTCCAGGCACTACCTGGATTAAACATTATTTATTGGTGTTATCTGGAAGGATGTTTCCAGAAGTTACTAGCATTGAATTGGTAGACTCAGTAAGTAATCTCCCCCACCCCTGGTGGGCATCATCCAATCCATCGAGGACCTGAATAGAACAAAAGGCAAAGGGATGAGGAATTCACCCTGTTTCCTGTCTCACTGATTGACCTGCAATTTCTCATTTCATCTTCTCAGGTCTCTGAACTGGGACTTGAACCATCTGCTCCCCTGGTCCTCGGACCCTCGAATTCAGACTGCAGTTCCACTGGTTTTCCTGAATCTCCAGCTTGCAGATGGCAGACAGCAGACTTCTCAGCCTCTATAATCCTGTCAGCTAACTCCTCATAATAATTATATATATTTCTCCATCCCACTGGTCCTATTTCTCTGGAGGACACTGACTAATACACGCCCTGAGATTTATTCTCATTATATGGGTTTGAGTCACATCCCACGCCAACTAATACACGGCCAAGGAGTCAGGTTGTACCAATGTAGTCAGCTGCAGTCCTATGTTTCATCCCTTAAATTGGGGGCAGAATCCATTTCTCTGAAATCTCATTGATTCCCCAGCCAGAAATTACCAACTATTAAGAAAGGAGAAGACAGGCAGAAATGTCCACAATAAACATTAATGCTATCTTACTCATCCACAGCACACAAGACATTTGGTTTGCACACATTTAAGGGTAGCTTATCATTAACTCAATGTTTCATAACTATAAATATGAAAAAAATTAATGAATTTAATTAAAGAGCTGCAAAGTCCCTTCAACGATATTAATATAGGCTCTAAACACTTTCAAGAAAATAGCTGCATACCTTCACTATTCTCTTTTAAACTCTTTTGCACACACATGGGAAGGGGTACTGGGCTAAGCTCTTCGAGGGACTCAAAGGTGTGTAGGAATGTGGAGCAAACACTGGCCACCAAGATTTTCAGCTCAACCTTTGTGCTCCCAAGGCCCTGATGTGACTCATTCAAATGAGCGTGTTAAGTTTTCTTGTTTCTCCAAAGAAATTACAATTGTCTTATGTGCATATAGTTAATAAACAGATTCCCCTTATGACCAGAGTGACTCAGGCAGTCACACATTTAGGTCAAGGCAACAATACGATTTCAGTTGTCTGCAAATACTCCTGTCATCTTTGATGAGACCGTGAACTCTCCAGAGCTACTCCTGGTTAAGGATTTTGGAGGGTGTCCCATACTTCCTCTGAATCTTTGACCTCAGGTAAAGCCAGATAAGCAACGTGCCTTATTTCCTCCAAGGGATCGAACTGTGCACTTCACATTTCAGATCTAAAGTCACTCATCTGAAAAGTGAACTAAGGGGTCTGTTCGTTTAGATCAGAGGAGGGTGAAAAGCAAAGGGCAAAGCCATGAGTTACTACTAGGCAGAATGAGGGGTGAATTCTGTGTTGTTGTGATCCAGGCCCCAAACTTACAGTCGATACAGTCCTCAAATGTGATTCATGAATATGCTGAGAAGGGAAAGTGTGGGGAAGTGCCGAGCTGGCCATTTCACATGCTTGGTTTTGTGGCGAGAGGCCCCAGGTCTGCAGATCACGTTACTGGAGAAACGCTCTGACTTTGGGTTGGACAGTGACCCCCCGAGGCAGGAACCCAAATGAGGTGGGTCCCTGACACCGTGCCCTGAGCCTCTTCACCTTGCACTAACCTGTTTCCAGACTTTTCTCTTTTCTCCTCGCCCTTTTTGACACTTTCCCTGTGTATCTCACATGTGCCTTGTATGACGTAATTTGTGGTCACTCGTGATAAGTGTCCAGTTGAACCCAGGCCAGACCCAAGGGTCATAATCCAGACCACACCCTAGGTTTGTCTTGACTCCAAATAAGATGCCAACATCCAGAGCCTCAATGCTTAAGTTCAAAAGAAAATGATTTAATTAACCAATTAATTAAATGTAATTTAATTAACTTAATTAAATGTAATTTTTAAGTTATCTCTCTCTCTCTCTGAACTCATTCAGAGGACTGCTATATGACATAAGAGATAAAGTTTTATTTGAACATCTTCCTTTTTCTACTATTTTCCTACCATTCCCATATATTAAAAATGAAAGTTAACTATACTTTCCTGGAATTCCTAGTCTATTAAAAGTATTGAATGGTGTAAATTGACAAGGCATGGATTTCTCATTCTGAGACTATTCCATTCCTGGAAACCACTGGATTGATGCATAATTATCCAAGGACCAAGGTAGTGTAATGGATAAAACACCCAGCTCTCTCTGTCCTAAGTCAGTCATCTGTCTTGTATTTCCCAGATATAAAACAGTAATAATGGTTCATCCACAAATATTTAGCAAACAATTATGAGGTATTTTAAAATTATTTTAAAATCTAAAAGCATGATAAACCACTTGATGGGCTCCTACCTCATCCATGAAAAAAGGAGAGCTTTATCTTCCTGAAGTCTGCACAAATTTAAGATGAGCCCCAAAAGAGTGTTAATAGGTACGTCCCATTTCTTTCATTACAATTATAACTCAGTGCAATCCAGGAAAAATTGACTAAATGCCCTATATGCTGGGTGCTGGGCCTTTGGTTTCAATTTACTAGGAAGCTGAAATTGGGGAGCAGAGAATATTCATGAAGTCATACAGGTCATGTGAACCTTGAAAGGGCATGGCGCACTAGAGACAAATGGCTTAAGGAAGGTCATAGCTGTGCTCTGGCCCCACGTTCCTTCTGCTTTCCTGTGATACCCCTGAGCCATCAGGGGAAAGATGAGAGAAGTGACCAACACGTTTGCTGCCCCTGCTACAGTTTCTCTCCAGAAAACATTCAAGGTGTTTTTGCTCTTAACATGCTCTATCTTTAACACAGCCTGAGGATAGAGCATCTATGCTTTGCCTCCTTCCAAACCTGTCCTCGCACCTCACATGAAGACACTCAAGATACTCAGGTGCATCCCCAGTCCCTCCTGAAGGAATCCAGGTGTCTGCACCTCCCAAAAACCCACATCACTGTGTAGACAAGGACACAGGCTGAGCAAGTGACAGGTGCTTACAGGGAAACAAGGGACTCCAGGCAGACGGAAGGATGACCGATTTGTCACCTCACTGATTACCAAGGTCGATCCGGCTGATAGAAGTACCTAGGTCCTCCTAGAGTGGAGGCCACTGGAAGCACAGAAGGACCCACAGAACTGCTCTCAAAAATCGATTTCATTCATGGTCACACTCACTTACTCCCAATATATTCTGCCACACAACCACTTGGTTGCAAAACGTAACCCCTCAGATGTCCACTTGCTGCTGTCTTCCCAAGGAATGTTCCTTGTGCACTACGTGTCTTCAATCCAAACTTTATTGCACTAACTATATTTCTGGTCTCATGTGGTTCACATTGTAGCTCCGTTCAGGAGAGCAGAATCCTCGAAGATGGCAGAACTCTTTTCCCAGTGGAGCAAATAAATGGGAATAAAGTAGAAGAACGTCGAACATTACAGCAGACACCAGGAAGGAAATCACAGTGGTGGACTGACCTTCAGATAGGAAGGGACTAGGGAGGGGTCTTGACAGTTAGGATGAAAAAGAGGAAAAAGAAAGAAGAACGAAAGAAAGAAAAATATTGTAATGCATCCAGAGGAATTGTGTTTTGGGTACTCTGTGGTGTGTGGACACCTTCTTCTGTTACATTCATGAAGCTCTCCTGATGGACAATCTTCCTGCCCACTGAACCACTCTGCCCCCCTTCTCCTGGGTCACTTCCACAGTCCTCTGTCATAGCTCATATCCCGCTCTGGGGACATGTACATGCATTTCTGTCCCCTCCTCCTGAATGTGAGCTTGTGACTTAAGGAGATTCAAGATGAGTGAAGCGTCACTGCATTTGATTCGCCATAATTAAGTCTGTTTCTCCAGGGTCTATTCTTAGTAAAAGAAAGAACACATGGTGCATCCTGTTCCCAGGAGCTGGGTAGGCACTGGTCACCACCTGGCCCTTCTACCTCTAGCCTCATTGGGGTCAACCTCTCTTCAAAAGAAAACCAATTTCCATTTGAAGTGTAGATTAGATTGGCTCCAGCAAGGATGAGCTGCAGATCAATGACACACACACAAAACAGCTTTTTTAAAAAAACAAATATTTACATAGCTGTCTCATTGTGCCAAGAGTTGCCCTGACGTATTTGACAAATACTTCTCATGTAACTTCATAAGCATTCTGAGAGGTGGGTGCTGTTAACTCCCTTTACAGAGACCACAGCAGTGAGTCGAGTAGGGCCACTCAATGCCACTCAAGTCTGTGGCAGAGGGACTTCATCCATTCTGCACCTTTCTCTACAATAACTCTGCCTATGGGTTTGGAGCCTGGGTTAAAAAAAAAGAAAGAAAAAAAAATGTGTTACATAAGCTACAGATTTATTATATCAAATTAGTTTATTGTCACCAAAAGGAAAATGTACTAAATATTAAGAATGCAATTTAGAGGTTATGTCTTTGAATTGCATGTTTGAAGTTATATTATCCAGTTTCTTAGGCAACCGATGAAAGAAGCTTAAACAGCCCAGTGTCATGTAACCCTTCAGAGCATTTTGCTTTATGGTTTTATCAGAGTTGCTTTTTTCTTCCCATGAATACAGAAGAGGTCTTCAAAATAACTTGCCGTCAAATAAGCAATGCAATATTTTATGTTTTTTTTTTTTTTGAAGAAATCTTTACTCAATTCTGTGCTATATCTAAAGATGTAGAATATGGTAAAATAAGAAGTGATTTGTGGCACACTTCAGTGAAATTTAATAATTGAGGATTGTTTGCATGAAAACACCAGAATGGGGTGGAAACGGAGCGGCGCGCTATCTCAAGGTGGCAGGCATCACCAAGAGCATCCGTCCGGGTGGACTCCGGCGCGACCAGTCCCTGAGCAACCTCGCCTTGCTCAGCCCGCCAGCGCACGAGAGCAGGGTCGGACGCTGTGCCTGAAGGGCGATGACAGGAGAGACGTGGAGATGGTCTAGCTGGGAACCCTAAGAGCTGTGGAGGATCTTCTAGGTTTGAAGGTCATACTGCAAAACTTCCATTCAGTCAATTACACATATGGGCCTTTTTATGTACCCTCCCTACGCTTCAAACTACGGTTTGGGTGCAAGCCACTTAACCTCTCCAAATGTCATTTTCTTCAGCTGTAAAGTGTTACCTTCCATCCTAAGTCTATAGTAAGGGCTAAATTAAATGGGGTAAGCATCATTATTATTTTTAGGGGAGGGGACGGGGCGGCGGGGGAGGGGGATGGTCTACAGAGTGACTTTGGAACCTTCATCTGTCTGCCACTTACTCCCCGAGAGACTTGGGAGGCTTCGAGCCTGAGCGTCTTCATCTATAAATGGAATAGCAACAATCTGTGTAGGTGATTATGAGGACTGCAGGAATCAATGCATGTGACAGACACTAGCCCAATGCCTTCCATAAAGAAAACGTTCCTGTCATTGTTACCATAATGATTGATTTTATACTCACAAATCTAACAAGTTATTTTTGACTTTTAACTTACTATGAGGGCTGAATATCATTTGTCTTTTACTCTCCCACATTTAATCAATTTCTCAATTGCCCTTGTTTTAAAATTCTCTCCTCTCTGCATACTTAGATTTTAACATGACTTGGTTGAAATTAACCAGATGCTGACCTAGCCATTCAGGAAGAATAATTTACAGACCTCTGCTGCAGTCAGATTGGGGGCATATGGCTGGGTTCAGGCTGGGAAAATGTGGACACATGAGAGGTTCCAGGGGCCCTCTCGGGGAGCCTGTGTTGGGAACGGTGATGTCACAGGATGGCAGGAGCCTGGATCCCTGAGCCACAGCCTGCAGGAGAGCCTCCCAGGAGAGCTATTTCTAGCCTCAACTGGACTTGGCATGCTCTTAAACTCTTAAATGCCATGGTTTATTTTTGTCACTTTACAGCCTAGCCTACTCCAACAATCAAGCAGAACTGAGAATATGCATGAGTAGTGAGGAAAAGGTGCCAGAAAGATCGGGGGGAAATAAGCAGTACACAGGAGAGCTGAGGGGGAATGGAGTGAGGGAGAGGGGCAACATGGCACATGCAGAGCTTGATGCAAGTGTTTGCATGACGAAACTCAGATTAAATTCATTTGAATCAAGCACTTACCCAAATTGAATTAAATCTCAGATCCAGCATTGACTTTTATGAATAAAATAAAAAGTGACACAGTGGAAAGGAGTGGGTTTTGGAGAGAGGTAACGTGGAAGGAGAGAAGTGCCTGTCTGAATCAAAGGCAGCACAGTGAAGGTGGACACAACTGGACATGAGAGATGTCCAGGCAAGAGGTGGCTTTCAGACCATCTCGTTGGATCCTTCTAGTCTACAGCTGTGAAAAGAGAGCCGCAGAGAGGCACTGTGGTTTTCCTTTAGCCCAATTTCCAGTTTCCCACCCAGAACGGGACTTCCTAACACACACCTAAAGCAACCCCTCTGGACCAGCTATGTGCCACCATACCTAGAGACAAAAACCAAACTCTTACCTACCTGGGCTTAAAAGTTAGACTTTGTGAAGTCATTCTCCATACAAGTCCAGGACAGCATCTCTCAATGGACTGTTTACAAATGCAGGATTTACAAAGAGACATTTTCTCTAATTACGTAGGCCAGGGAGATTGTCTCAACTTGTAAATACCCATGGAAGCAACTTTTCAATGAGGGGTTCCATGAGCTCTCCCAAGGGAAGCATGCGCATAATAAATGCATGGACTTCAGCCAGCATTAATCAGTATTAATGCCGCCGTCGGTAACCATTATGGAGAATCACAAGGGTCCCCGTGCGGGCACACAGCGGAAGCCGAAGCGACGCAGAGTACACCCGCAGGAACAGGCTTTGTGAAGCGACAATGGTCCATTCCCTCCTGAATGAACTTACTCTTAATGAGTGTGTCACCCTCGATGCTACCAGCCACTCACCAGTCAGCCGTTAGTTCTTGGGCGGTATTGATCCATATGCGGTGTTTAAGGTTTCAAACTCGACTGAAATGTAGTTTCTGAAGGTATCTGGAGGTATGTCTTGGTAAATAGTAACTTTTGGAAGGTTGCCTGAAGCCTTAACAACAGGAAAAACACAGCTTTCCTCCTCTTCCTTTCCAAGGACTCTGGCTTTATTATCGAAACAACAATACCCCAAAGCACCTCACGAGTCTGGGAGAGGAATTTCAAAACAGCAAGCAATTTTCAGCCCAAATCTACCCAAATTGAGGCACTTCTCCCTGCTCTGAACTTGTTTACTCAACACAGGCTATGTTAAGTGAACTGACATTAGATGCGAAAAATAAATTAAATTAGATTTTGCCTTCTCTCTTCAGGAAACACCACCCATAAATAAAATGCTGTGAACCCAGTTGTTTCCCTACAGAACACGTGTGAAAACATTGCAATCTACTGCCTATTCAGTGAGAGGTTGTGTTTGTTCTCACCGAGAGCCACATCTCATCACAATCCTCACATAGGCCCAGCAAGTACTATGCGTTACTCTACAGCGGCGTTAACTCCATGTCCTCGCTACCAAAGAGAGAAGTATAAGCATAACCTGGTTTCATATAGGAAAGTCTCTGGTTATTTTATAATTACACCCTGCACTATGACAGTACCAGGAAGTTACTATTGGCCCCACTCTATAAATGAGTAAGCAGAAGTGGAAGGCAAAGAGGCCTATCTAAGTGGTAATGAATACTGTAGAGCCCCTGACACAGATGGTTGGGGACAGGGCTAAGAGCAAGACCCAGGTGCCCCAACTCCTATTCTGTATGCTAAGATCCCACCACCCAGGCTGTCAGGCAAGGTGATTACATCCTGAGACTTTTCATGCCCTTGTGATAAATGCCAAAATTCTTTTTTTTTTTTTAACTCTAGTCAAAACTCTCTTCTTCCATATTATTTTTTACCTTTATTTTATTAATTTTTCTTCTTTCCCCCAGTTTTATTGAGGTCTTAATTGACAGTTAAGAATTGTATATAGTTAGGTTTTACAACGTGATTTTTTTAAGGTGTACAGTGGGATAATTTAATATACATATGCACTGTGAAATGATCACCACAACCAAGTTAATTAACACATCCATCATTTTACGTAGCTACCTTTCTTGCGTGTGTGGTGAGAATATTTAAGATCTACTCTCTTAGCAAATTTCAGGTATACAATAGGGTATTAACAATAGGCACATTACATCTCCAGAACTTACCTTAGATCTGAAAATGTGTACACTTAGACCGACATCTCCCCATTTCCTGCACCTTCCATCCCCTGGAAACCACCATTGTACTCTCTGCTTCTAAGAGTTTGACTGTTTTAGATTTCATACATAAGTGATATCATGCAGTATGACTTTTTCTGTGTCTGGCTTATTTCACTTAGCATAATGTCCTCCAGGTTCATCTATGTTGTCACAAATGACAGAATTTTTTTTTTATGGCCAAAATATTCTACTGTGTATATATACGCAACTTCTACAGTTGATGGACACTAGGGTTGTTTCCATATCTTGGCTCTTGTGAATCATGCTGCAGTGAACGTGGGAGGCCCCTCAGGGCCTCACCCCACTGGCTTGCACGACGTACAAGGCTCCAGCCACATGGCAAGATGGCCACCATCTTGCTGGATGTTTCTTTCCTGTTCCTGCTCACTTGACCCTTGTTCTCTTCAGAGATGCCTTCCCTTACATCTCACTATTGTGCTTGCCGTATTAGTATACAATTTTTATTCCCAGTACTTGTCACAATGAGTATTCATGCAAATGTTTTTGTCATTATTGCAATATGCTTCCCCATCACTCAAAACGTACACACCACCTTAAATCTACAAGCTCAAAGAGGACAAGGACAGTCTGTGTTGTGTCCCACTTTACACCCAGTGAATCGCACAGTGCCTGGGACCTAGTACGCACTCAATAAATACTTACTGATTCTAAAATGTATGCCTGTGTATCCATCAGAGATGGGTTCCGCTTCCACACAAACTCAGCATCCCTCGAGTTATGCAAGCTAGAGAGAGCCACACAAGGACATTCATTTACAAATGTCACAAATGTAAGTACCTAGCAAGTATATAATCTGATTATCAGAATTTTCCTATCTGTCTAAAACGCTAACAGTCTTTGATTTGATCAGGTGCTGTGAATATCTCTATGTCTGAGAGCTAGAACAGGAGGTAAGAGGAAAAAGGCAAAGATTAAATAGATACTGTCTTTCAGGGGCTTCCCACACAGTTAGGGAAGGCATGCCACATTTCCAAGGGATTGGCAAAATGTCTACTCTACAATTTTTTTTTAATTCTCAAAGTTCATGGGAAAGGATTGATACAATGAATTAGAATCATTGGGATTAAGTTTCCTCAAAGCAGATTTAACTTGAAAAAAAAAATGGATAGGATTTAAGTAGGTGGAGGGAAGAGGTGATGCACCAAGTGGGGGGACCACCCAGGGAGGGGCTGAGCCAGGCAGCCCCGTTCAGCTGGCCTCTGCAAAGGCTCCTGCAGAAAGAGTAAGAAATATGCAACATGATCTCAAGTTAAGGAAGAGAACTGAACACATAGGGAGAGCACATAACAGGTTTTCAAGTCTAGCTTTCACTATGAATGATCTCTGAGCAGGGGAGTACAGAGATGAACCACAGGTCTGGCAAACTTTGTAAGTTAAACCAGACCACTAACTCCCAGAGTTCAGCCTGTGGCCCAGCAGAGGCCTTCAGGTTCATCCCGGGGGTTACCAAATTGACTTCAAAATTAGGTTCCTTCATCTTTTGTAATGTGCAAATGATGACTCATTCCACAAATGTTTACCTAGTTCTCAGGATACTGTGATTTTGTGTCCATGCCTAGGACTTTCTAGGTGACACCTGTCTTGGGGTAATTATTAACAGTGTCCCCTTTCTCTCTCCAAATTGTCCATTTTGGGTGACATATTATATGGTCACCTTAGTTATAGGTTTTGTTTCTTTTTTTTATTATTGACCTCACTGATATGAGGAATTCTTAATCTCAGTAAACAAACTGAGGGTTGCTGGAGTAGTTATGGGTTTTTAAATACTGATCTGTGAAAGTTATTTCTCAATGTCATTAAACTTTGGTATTGTATTAGGGCTCTCTAGAGAAACAAAATCAATAGGATATATACATAGGAAGAGATTTATTATAAGAAGCTGCATCACTTGATTATGGAGACTGAGAAGTCTCACAGTCTGCCATCTGCAAGCTGGAGTCCCTGGAAAGCCAGTGATGAGTCCAAAGGCCTGAGGGCCACGGGAGCTGGCAGAAAAGACGGATGTCCCAGCTCAAACTATAAGGCAGGAAAGACGGAATTCTTCCTTTACCCGCCTTTCTGTTCTATTCAGACCCTCAATGGATGGATGATGTCCACCCCCACTGGAGAAACTTGCTTCACTGAGTCTACCAATTCAAATGTTCATGTCATCCAGAAACATCCTCACAGACACACCCAGAAATAATGAGATTTAGCCACACATCTGGGCATCTGGTGATCCAGTCAAGTTGACTCATAAGATTAACCATCAGGGAGACTTATAGACTAAGAGTGGTGTACTTCAGGAGCATGCTGAAGGTCCGGATTCAGTATGTTAGTAAGGGGTCTCACTGTCCCTCAAACGCTGGCCAGCTAGGCAAAATGTCTTCTGCATAGGGACCTACAGAGAGCTGGTATTTTTGGAAAATATTCAGTCATACGATTAGTTCATTATCAACAACCTTCTGAGCTGGTGTGTTTTTCAGTCCCTGCCATTTCTTGCATTTCAATATTAAATCATCTCTAGCTTAGCTTCTGATGAAAACCTACACTCATTGAATTGTTTGTTGCAGCCCACAGTGTTGGCCGTGCCAATCAGCTCATTAGTGTTCGGGTGTAGACCTTAAGCACGGTGTACATGCAGTTGAAATAGGACTCACTCACACTCTTGCTGCTTGGGTAAATCTATATGTAACCCCACACACACACACCCCCAAGGTGCCCGAACATTGACACTTCATTGTTGTCAGTGAATTCTTTTCCAAAGGAACCTGTGGAAGGGTGGAATATTTTTATCATGGTGTTTTGCCCTAAGTAGTCAGAAACAGTATCACTCCACCAGGTGGAGGGCACAGGGGCAGTGGGAGGATCCTGGTGGGGGAGCTTTGGCAGAAGTTAAGAAGTGAGGCCCCCAATACGGAGTAATGGCAGTGGACAGAAGGAACATCTAAGCGTCCCAGAACCCCAGAAAAATGGCAGCTGGCCATTCACAGTCAGGAATTTTTGACAAAATTCAAATTTGAGCCTGCAATTTTTTTAACCTATCTATGACTGATCTATTCAAAGTTATTGCTTCCAAACTACTGTAATTGGCATTCAAACTGATTCTTTCTCATTCTCCAATTTTTCTGATTTGTCTCTATAGAACTGATGAGAATGTTAATAAAACAAATAAGTTGGCTCTTTAATCAAGAACCTTCCCTGATGATTTAAACACTTTTAAGACCAAGGTAAAAGAAATAGTTGTGGGTTTTTTGTTGTTGTTTTTTTTACAACAAAATATGCAATCAAACACTTAGGTTAGTTCCTTGTCTGAAAGACTTTTTATGTATGTAAAGTTATATTTTATTATTTGAACCCAACAATTTCCACCAAAGAATATTCCTTGATTTTTACTGAGGAAAAAGAACACTTTTGCTTTTTACAAAAGGGCATTAAAAATATTGATGAGCTCTTACAGCTGATTTAAAAAGTCAGCAATTAGTATATTTCGTAATTCGGCTACTAAAAGTAGTATTGGCTTCAAAAAATTTTTAAAAATTCTTATGAACCACATTTTCAGAGAAATTTTGCAGATTGCAAACAAATCTATAAAAATAACCTCCCTGACCCTATTTGCTACTGACCTAACAAAGTGTTATATTCACAACGTTTTGAACTTTCCATGCTTTATAGGTCAACCAGCTCTGAAATTTAATAGAAAACCAACACCAGCATAGCAAACTGAGGAATGTCGTATAATCATTGAAGGCAAATGAGTGGATCATTAAAACACCTC